CGGGAATCACCTCCGTGTCTCCCACAGGACTCGCTGCCTAAGCTGAAGGACCTCGCCTTCCTGAAGGGGCAGCTGGAGAGCCTGCAGCGCAGGGTGGAGGACGAGGTGCAGGCCGGCGTGGGGCAGGTAACGTGCAGGCTGAGGGCGGGCCCGCCGCGCCCTGTGAGAGGGACTGGTGGGGGGAAAAAACAAGCCCCAGGGTAAAAACAACCCACAACTCACCCCTGGGGCATGTGCTGTGTCGCCCCCTCCCCGGTGCCTCACTGCGCTCTCCCCTCAGGACGGATCGCTGCTGGCATCGCCCTTGCTCAAAGGTTTCCTGGCGGGATACCTGGTGGCCAAGCTCCGCTTCTCCGCCGTCCTGGGCTTCGTGGCCGGCACCTGCACCGGGATTTACGCCGCGCAGAATTATGCCGTGCCCAACGTTGAGAAGACGATTCGGGACTATGTGAATTCACTGAAAAAAGGTCGGGACTAGCGAGGAGGAGCCCGGAGGCAGCAGGGACTGCAGGAACCGTGCTCCTTAGGTAGCAGGCACAGAGCACCCCTAGGGCTCTGGGAGGCACAGAACCTGCACCCTTCTTTTCCCTGGAAAAGCGTTTTGCACCACACCACTGCCACACGTCAGGGGGCTGGTGATGGGTGTTTGTTGGGCACCGTGGCAGCAGTGATCACTGCACTAACCCACAGCAGCTTGAGAGCACTGAGGGGCTGCCAGCTGCCTTTTCCCCTTAGCTTTCCCTGTGGACTGAGGGGCTGCTGTGCCTGGTCACCCGTGTGCCCTGTGCTTTGTGTGGCTGCTCAGGAAGTTCTGTAGTTCTCCTCCTAACCAGAGACAACACCCTGCTCACCTGCTGCATCACCAGTGTTGCAGGGAACATCCTGCTTGAATCAGGCTCATTAAATTCTCGGTATTTGATCTGTTCCATGTTGCAGGGTGAGAGTCTGTGTGGCCTCTCTGCTGGCAGCAGCTCACTCCCTGCCTCCCTCCCGACATGGGGGTGTTTGGGAACACGGCTGGCTCTGCCGACAGGCTGCTCCACAGGGGGCTGTGGGCTCTGCTGCTGCTGCTCTCTGTGGCCATCTACGGCTCCCACGCCCCGCTCCTGACCCTGTGCAAGGTGGATGGGGCCATCCCCTTCAGCTCCACGTCCGTGGTGGTGCTGGTGGAGCTGACCAAGCTGTTGCTGTCGGTGCTGTCGCTGCTGCCGGGGGCCCGGGAGCCGCTTCCGGCGGCGCTGTCCTGGCGCCACGCCGCGCCCTTCGCCCTCTCCGCCCTGCTCTACGCCGCCAACAACAACCTGGTGGTGCACATGCAGCTCTTCATGGACCCTAGCACCTTCCAGGTGCTCAGTAACCTCAAGATCGTCAGCACGGCGCTGCTCTACAGCCTCCTCTTGCGGCGGCGCCTGGGCCCGCGCCGCTGGCTGGCCCTGCTGCTGCTGCTGGCCGCCGGTGTCACCTACAGCTGCGGGGGGCTGCGGGGACACGGGGACACCGCAGGGACGCGCCTGCACGTCACCCCCGTGGGGCTGCTGCTGCTCTCCGTGTACTGCCTCATCTCGGGCCTCTCTGCTGTGTACACTGAAGCCATCCTGAAGAGCCAGGCGCTGCCCCTCGGCCTGCAGAACATCTTCCTGTACTTCTTTGGGGTGCTGCTCAACCTGATGGGATCCCTGTGGACTGGCATGGAGGGTGGGTTCCTGGAGGGCTTCTCCCCGTGGGTGCTGCTGGTTGTGTTCAGCCAGGCTCTGAACGGCCTCATCATGTCCGTGGTGATGAAGCACAGCAGCAACATCACCAGGCTCTTCATCATCTCCTGCTCCATCCTGGTCAATGCTCTCCTCTCCGTTGCCCTCTTCAACCTGCAGCTCACCCCCCTCTTCTTCGTGGCTGTGGCGTGCATTGGCCTGGCTGTGCACCTGTACTATGGAGTCACATAGTCACTGCCTTCCTCCCCCGTGTCTGGGCAGCCCCAGCCCCTCCTCAGGGCTGGAATCATTCCTGGTGCACAGCTCCAAGGATCCCCCAAGGAGTGCTGAGGGGGAGAGCACCCTGCCCCTGCTTCCACAGGGAAACTGCCCTGCTCCAGTCCAGCCAGGCTCTGTGCCATGGGGCTCCCATGGCATCAGGCATGCCCAGCCTCAGGGGGGTCCTGAACCCCTTGTGCCAGGGGAGGTTCAGGGTGGACCTTAGGAGTGATTTCTTCACAGAAGGGGCGATTAAACACTGGCAGGGGCTGCCCAGTGGGGTGGTGCAGTCACCATCACTGGAGGTGTTTAGGGACAGGACATGGCACATAATGCCATGGTCCAGGTGACAGGTCTAGGTGATGTTGGGTTACAGGTTTGACTCCATGATCCCAGAGGTCTTTTCCCACGTAAATGATTCTGGGACTCTGTGTCCCTTGTCCTCAAGCTGCTTCCCCACACCACAGTGGCCTGGGAATGCCCTGGCAGTGCCTCCTGCCTGCCCAGCATGGCACTGGTGCTGTTTCAGCTCCCATGGATGCTGCTTGATCCCTGCCATTCCTGGTGCTGCTTCCCTGGGCCTCTCCCACCTCCACGGTTTTCCAGGCTGGCCCTGCCTGGAGCCCTGCTGTCCTCAAGCCTCATTTCCCCTTCCTGGCACAGTGTCTGCACAACAGCCAGGGGCTGGGGCATGTGGGAACCTTCACCTGCTCCCCAAAAGGGGGATGCCCCAAAATTTGTACCAAGTTCCTGGCAGGCAGAGGCCAGCCAGGGTATTAAAGCTGCGGTTCAACAGTGTCCGTGTGTCTGTCCTGTGTCTGCCCGCCCTGAGGGATGGTGGCTGTGCCCCTGGGGCAGGTTTGGGACCAGGGGTGTGTCTGAGCCTGACAACACTCACGGCTGAGGAGCACCCACTTTATTCTGTGTGGAGCATAAAGCCTGCCTCCCAGCAGGCTGAGCTGTGCTCCCACAGGCAGGGTCCCAGCACAGAGCAGGCTTTCCCTCAGGAGCACAGCCAGAGGCCTGGGATAACTCCTGTGCCTGGGGCTGCCCGGTATCCTGGCATGGCTGCTGGCTCGGTGCAGGGACCCAGTCGTGCCAGGCNGAAAGGTTCTTCACTAAAAGGGTCGAGCACTGTGCCAGGGTGCCCAGGCCATGCTGGAGTCACCATCCCTGAAATGTTCCAAACACATCTGGGTGTGGCTTGTGGGAGCTGCCAGCTTTTTAATCATTTTTTGGATTGGCAGGGCTATGTTGTTGGGTGGATTGGATGATCACAGAATCATCTGGGTTGGAAAAGAACTCTGAAGTAATTTTTGTTCTTTCCTTATTCTGTTATTTCTAGGAGGGTATGTGGAAATTCTGCCGAGGAGCTGACGAGTGCCCATAAGAGGGACTCCCACAGGCTGTGAGATAGGTGAAAAACATAAATGTTTGTTCAGTAATCACTTTACTACCTTTATTATCCTTTACTATCAATATTACTTCAAAAATATTGCACTCCTCAAGTGGCTAGGGCTACCTACACTGTGTGGTAAAGAATTCTGAATAAGCTCTTTTAGCATAATCCTTTCAATCATTAGTTATGTTATTTATAGAAATATATTTGGGTTCCCATCCTTAATCCTGAAGGACAAAGGCTCATATTGCACATAAAGGCTCATATAAAGGCTCAGTTGCAGAGCTTTAGCCATAAACCACTGGCCAAGCCTGGGACTGGACCAGACTCCTCAAGGAGGAAGAGCCCAGGGAAACTGCAGAGCTTGGGACCCCCATCCATGCTGCCCTCAGGGGCGACAGGGTCCT